TGCATCTTACTCCAATCCCAGTAAACATCACATCATTCTCATACCTCCTGAGCTTCCTTCTCGAATTTCTCAATTGTTCTCTTGTCGATTCCACCGCACTTGTAGATCAAGTGGCCGGTAGTCGTGGACTTGCCGGAGTCGACATGTCCAATGACGACAATGTTCACGTGAATCTTCTCCTTTCCCATGATGCCTTAAGAAATGACAGACATTAGACATGTTGAATGGAAAGTCAACCTCGCTAAACTCACTGCTCCTTTGCTATGAGAGTCGGGAATGCAGAGAACTCAAGAATTCCACTGGAAACAGACACCCCTTCGAAGTAAACGAACCCGAAAAATTAATTAATCTCAATTATCGAAAAGCACTCAGTAACGGACAGAAAGAAAAAGTCAACTTCAAAAATAATATTGCGGCACAAGGAATTCAGCTCATCTGCTATAACGCGGGAAGAACTGCATTAAAGAAATATATGAATACGTGACTAGCAAAATTGAGTACTGTAGTCTGACCCTCATTCCCGACCACGAGGAAGGTTACAGAAGAACTGAGACTATCTGTGAACCCCGAATGGAGACTTTGAACCGAAGGCAGCGCCATGTTCTCTACGTGGAGTATTAGATTTGTGTGTTGCTGACCTCTTGGATGGTTGAACGACGGTAGCTACAGAATAGGATACAGTATTCCAGATTTTGCACAGTACTGTACAATTCATTCCAATGGGCTGAGATAATGATCACAGGATATCATCAGGAATTGAATAGCAGGGCACAATAGAGACAGCTCAGGTGCCACAGGTGGAGATTTTTTTATGACTGAGAGCATTCAGCATGTTTTTCTCAGGACATTTCCTGGAGTATCTATGTACAGTAGATACTTCGAAACAAGGAAGCGTTTCCAGATGAAGTATTTGGAGAAGTAGAAGTTTCATTCTGATTTTCCCACCCGCATATCATCTAAGAAAGTCCATCAGCAGGCAGCACACCAGACACTACATACTTCTTTTGATCTGCAGCAGGAAGCAGCATCATTCTTGTCTGATGCTACAGCAATTTTCACTGGGAAATTCAGATGAGCTGCTGAGCATGTTAGTCTGTCAAATATGGAGAAGCAATTGTTCAATCACTAAAAAAATGGTTATATATGGTTTATCAAAAGATGCATATCCTATTTTGATCTCCAGATGATTCTCAAAAATGTTTACATCTACACATACAGTAGTAAAGTATATGTATTTATATTTACAGGATGTACCTGTACTGTATATAGAGAGAGCAGTAATCCAACAGTTTTTGGCGATGTAGCTGGAAAATGAAAAGATATTTCAGCCAGCAGAGGTGTAACTCAAATAATAAGGTAACAGTTTACTGTAAATGGCAATATGTGTTGATCATGATATCATGAATAGTATAAATAAGAGGAGTCACCATTGGAAATTGACCAAAGTGTTCAAAATTCTATGTAAATTATTGTACCTATCCTGTTAGCTATAAACACCAGGAACTCTGCTGATGCTTCTCTATAATTGCGGCATTGTTCTGCTGAATAAAGTTAGTTAATTTGTCATCTCTATGTGCTGACCTGGTAAAGGAAAAGTATTTTCTTCACCGTACTGATAGATGAAAGTAAATTCTTGAAGAAACAGAAATGAGGCCTTGGATGATATGTTTAGAGAAAAAAAAAGGAAATTGGAAGCGAGGCTCCTTCAAAATGCTTATTGGGTTTTTCATTTGCTGTGAAACAATTATCATTTAAAAATTTAACCCATAACCCATAGCCCATAACCTGTGGTCTGTGGACCAGCACTGGTCTGGAAACTTTTTCTGCAGGTCCACTGCTGCACCGTAATACATTTGTATAAAGTAGCAAAGAAGTTACCTTTATTCTCAATTTTAGGAAGAGAATGTAAGTTGAGATTATCTGATAGAAATATAAGCTGACTTTTCTCCTAATTACTTTTCAGAAAAGGTTCACCTGATGATATAAGTTATCTCAATTTTCTCATTCTGAAAAACCTTTCTTCTTTGAAGACATTCCACCATTGTAGTGGTTTGTAATTTGAAAAAAAAGTCAGAAACGTTTTGAATAACTGTCATAACATCTTTCAAGCAGAACTTTTTCAAGTCTTCAGAGGTACAAACATTTTTGATTCAAAAATTAAGAAAAAGTCTCCCAAAAAGAAGAATAGTTCTTATCAACATATTTAGAGGTACAGAAAATAAATGTATAGAAGAAACCCACGCAGAATCTGATCTTTTGACATCAGAATAAGGTCAAGAAGCACAGAACAAGAACAAGTTTTGCTATACTGTACTGCAGTACTGTACTGAGAACACATGGTTGAATAAATTTACAAAGTTAAGTATAAATTGGCCTGCTTTTGACTATGAATTTGGGTAATTAAAGTTAATCATTAGTTTTAGCAGTTCAACAGTTAATAACTCAATTTTTCAACAAATATTAAAATATAGATAAATAAAGCGTTATAAAATGTTTTCAGAAATTTGGGAAAATATCAAGTAAGTCAAGTTACTATCTGAATGTTGGGCCAGATTTTTTAAAGCTCCATTCAAATCATCTGGAGTTCATGGTCTCATTGTATTTTATGAAACTTTACTGGTACAGATAATTTTTAATTTTTGGACTGCAAAAAATTTTTATGGAAATTTGCTGGTGCAAAGAGGTTTTGGAAGAAGTAATGGTTTAAAGAATTTAAAAAAATTCAATTTGTTAGCTGGACTGAAACATGTTTTCAAATACAAAAGAAAAATCAGAACTTTACAAAATCCTGGGTTATATCAGTGATAGCCATTACCTCAACAGCTGATGAGGTCATGCTCAATTGCAAAAATACACTTGGATTGCCAAGATGGAAACTGAGTTTTCTTTGGAACAATTAGAATGGAAACTGATGCTGAATGTTTATTCAAGTATAGTACCTCCAAGTTCTCGAATTATTAATTGAATTTGCTCGTTAAAATATTACTGCTTTTGCTTTTGAATACTCCTCTGTGGTAATGATGCAGGTTATGGCATTTCTACATGTGGAGATACAGCAAAACCCCAAAATGCTTACAACCCAACAACGGACAATTTGACTTGGGTGACACTTGCAAATTTAAAAAATTGGTCCCAAACATCCAGACAGTATCACAACATATGGGCATTTTCTCAGCATTTCTAGAAAAGTGGATTTGTTTAATTTTTCAAAATTTGAATAAATCAATTTGTTCTCTTGAACAAATTGAGATTTTCATATTCACATAATGTATGTTACAAATTAATTTACTTATACATTCAATTGAAGTTATAATCAATAACAGGTTCATTTCGAATTTATTTTTTCAGCATTTTCCATCACATGTACACAAGGATTATACTTTCAGCAATATTTATACTTCTGCTTGCATTTTTGAGTCATTTTGATGTCAGAAGATCATTCTGCATTCTTGGAGTTGAGAAAAATATTCTATTTGATATTTTGGGAATTATTTCTCTGTTTTTCAAGAATTGGAGAACCAATCATCAAAGTAGTTCCCATTAAAGTGTATGGAAAAAAGGTCCAACATAGGGACACTGTCATCCAAGCACCAATTATGTTCGCATTTTGGTGTCTCACCGTAACTCCTTTTCATTAGCATGGAAATCTGGCCTTCCAAAGCAACCATCACGCACGAACCGAAGTTCTCATTAGTCGTTTTTCAGACTTTCTCGCACGGCATTTACTTCTGGTAATTAAATAAACGAGAAAAGTGCATTGTCAACTTCAACATTTACAATTATTCTCGAAGTCAACATAAAATGAGATGATATCATACAGCATGACCACCAAATACTGCAAGGACTTGCAATACGCAGCCCGCAAATAACGAAGTTCAGCATCAATAATTGTTTTGAAAGATGAAAAATCTCAGCTTTTGAGACATAAAATACAGTAGTTTGATCCCCTTGCTGTCAAGACATTCTTCACCATTTCAGGTCCATAAGCCTTTTCTTAAATTACAGCATTCTTCTCGATTCAATTATTCACAGCTACTGAGATGAGTTATTTCAGATCAGCCAGATATAAGGCAATATGTATGCCATACTTGACTGAATCAATAAAAGTAGTGTACAGCCAAATACTGACTTTAACCTGGTTGAGAATAGCAAATGGGGAAATAACTTACTTGCTCAAACCTGATGTGGTTAGCTTGATTTGAATTAGATTTTAATCGATAGGTTAAAGCCAGACGACCAAGGTCGGGGTTTGCAGGGCAACATTCTCACAGAACTCCTAACCAGACAAACACGAAGCAATCACAGCTACGGAAGCTCGCGTGAATTCGAAGGAACACGGAACACATGACTATACAACAGCCCTACATAATTTCCAAAACGACTGCACAGCCGGGAGCAGCGTAACACCTGTGAAGAACGAACGCATAATTCTTGGAGAAAATTCAGGTTTTGCCGACAACAGAAGAACCACCGAATTCTTTCCTCCTTCAAGTATGTATTTCACCCGGACCGGAAACAAGCACGAGCTCAGCAAGAAACGGAATCGACAATTTTCGTCCACGAAGTAGAAGCGTCAAGAAACACACGAGGGAGCCGAATAAAGGATCGAATTGATCAGTTTTTCCTGCGGAACATTTTTCTGTGAAAGCTCCGCTTCAGGCGCAATGACAGTATGAGCACTGAATGGAACGATTCCTTCACATCGGCTGCAAAACGCGATCTAAACGCACGGCTAATTTCTTGGCAACAAAAACCTGTTTCAGAAGAATGTATCGATTCCACAACTTCCAATGCGGCGCAGATTCTTGCACAGCTACTTCTTCTTAGCGGCTTTTTCGGCGGCCTTGGTTACCTAATCAAATAAGCGGAATATTAGCAGAAGACCTCGATGTGATCATGAAAATTAACTCACCTTGCCAGAACCAGCATCTTTGGGGGTGACACTCCTGATGACACCGACGGCGACAGTCTGTCGCATGTCACGAACAGCGAAGCGACCCAATGGAGGGAAAGTCGTATACGCCTCCACGCACATGGGCTTCGAAGGAATGAGCTTCACAATAGCCGAGTCACCAGATTTGATCGCTTTCGGGTTCTCTTCCACAGTTTTGCCTTCGAAGGGATTAAACCTTTCACTAGCATGAAAAAGACAGTGAACAGACGAACTGCTCGCCGAAAGACCAAGCCTTTTCAGTATCTACTTGAAGAGCGTTGAACAAATGGCATTAGGATAGGCGCGCATAAAAACCGATCGTGGTACTGATCAAATGATAGTACATATGACATTTGATTACGTAATAGTCTAATTTTTTCCCGCCAATGAAAGCGAAGAAACTTATTACAGCACAATAAATCAATGTTTGCAAATGAACGAAAATTTCGACAGATGGCAACAAGGACAAAAGTGTACAGGTGGAAATCTTCGATTTACGAACAAAAAAACTCACCTGTACGGCGATCACACTTTTCCTTGATTTCAGCAAACTTGCAAGCGATGTGGGCTGTGTGACAATCCAGCACAGGGGAATATCCATTCATGATCTGACCAGGGTGGTTCAAAACGATGACTTGAGCAGTGAAATCTGCTGCTGGGGTGGGCGGGTTGTTCTTAGAGTCACCAGCTACATAACCACGGCGCAATTCCTTGACAGATACGTTCTTAATATTGAATCCTACGTTATCGCCGGGAACAGCTTCGGTCAGAGACTCGTGGTGCATTTCCACAGACTTGACTTCAGTAGTGATGTTGACTGGTGCAAATGTCACCACCATACCAGGCTTCAGGAGTCCTACAA